ATGCTTTGTGGATTCCAGGGCAGAGATTTCAGTTGCTTCACTGCTGTACCTGGTCCTGACAGCTGCTGGGTATGAGGGCAGAGCAGAGTCTGTCCCTGTGCCGCAGCTCTGCCAGCTCTGCAGTGCTGCCAGACACAAACCTTCTCTCTTCCAGTAACGTTAAGTGTCAAACACAGAGAACAGTCATGGTAAAGTCGGTTTGTGTGAGCATTTTTTGGTATGTTAATCTTTCAGCTTTTAGTAACTTGTGCCTGTTAAATCTGCATAGATGGGTTCAGCCACCTTACACATTTGCTGTGTCATGCTTCACTGTTGCATTTGAATGCACCCCATTCAAAGTAAAACAGCAAATATATTCTGTTCTGATTGACCTTGTTCTGCCTGAGAATAAACAAACCTTTTATCTTCATCTCATGTATTATTACTGACAAGTTTCTGAAGTATACACATAAGCTTCTAGACTCTGCTGTACTGCACACAACTTCCAGAAATGGTAAAAGATTTAGTATCTGCTCTGTCTGAGACTTCAAAGAGTGTGTGTTTCTGCTATCCTTATAGAAATAAAATCCTTAGGAACAAATTCCAAATCAGTTTTTGACTGTAATTAATGACCAAAAAAGAAGGTAAATAACTTTGAAGGCAGAGATCATTCTAAAATTATTAATCTAGTACCTCATTTTATTTGACCCCCAATCTCTTTTTCTACCAGTCTGCTCTGTGATACTCAGTGCCATCATGATATTCATATAATATTACATCCATATAGTATTTTAAGAACTCTAGTAAGTTACACTTACTTTTCCATATTTAAAAGAAAGAAGTACTACTGTTGAACTGTAACTGGTTAACATGATTGTACGGAGAAAGCAAATAAAGTCTGTAAAATTTCATGAAGAATAGGTTATTCTGTAAATTGCATGCCAGGAAGACCTGGAAAACTGAACAACTAAGGAATAAGCAACCTTTCACCTGCAAGTTTTTACTGACGGGTGATATATACAGGAATCAAACGTGCATGGATGCTTAAAGGCTCAGTATAATAAAGGATAATGCTCAACTGGAAAAAGACACTCTGCAAAAATGACACCGTGATGTTCTGTAATTGCCTTTCACTGGCAATTTATCAGTTATATTGAGCAAAAAGCCTTGGAAGCTCAACTTAGGCTATAGGAGATCATTATTTCCATTTCATGCATCATCATGACTGATTGAGAACATAAAGACCAAATTACTTTTGGATGCATCTACATAACTCTACAGCCTGCAGTGATGTAGCACTGTTTTATCTGGCTATATAATTCAGGGTGGGTTTGTTTACAAAATAGCCCTGTGGATTTCATTATTTCATTATGCATCTTCTTGGGCTCTCTCTGCAGGAGTAAATGGAATAAAATGTACAAAAAACTTTGGTTTGACAGGAAAGGCACCAAAGTCACCCTGAAACTAGATGATCTCCAGAGGTCCCTTCCAATCCTAACAATTCTGTGGTTCTGTGAAAGCACCAGAAAAAAAAAATTGCACTGAATTCGGTGTGAAAATTCCAGTATTAGTTATGCAGAACTAGGCAAGTCATTTAACAAACCAGTATGTTCCACTTTCACCTAATTCCAGTCCTCCTCAAAAATGTCTTGGGAAAAGAGAAAGAAACAGCAAAAATGTGCCTGTCAGTTTTGATGGCAAAATTCTAGTTGCATTCCCTTAAGATTATCTGTAGTTAGCTTTGAGTCCTGTTTTGTTCTGTTTTATTTTTAAAGAGAGCTGTTACTGACCAAGAGCTGCAGAGTACAGGAGACGTCACACAGGATTTTAACTTGCTCCTCCAATAACTCACAAATTGACCCAGTTTGTTTTGTGTCTGTCTGTGGTCTATCCCCAGGGTCAGTGGGCTTTCTCCTTTCATGGGAGACAACGACAACGAAACCCTCGCCAATGTCACCTCAGCGACGTGGGACTTCGATGATGAGGCTTTTGATGAAATCTCTGATGATGCCAAGGACTTTATCAGCAATCTACTAAAGAAAGACATGAAGTAAAGCTGCTGGACGTGATACACTTTTTGTGTTTGCATTTAGCTGAACTTGCCATGCGTGTTTCCCCACTGTGAATGTGCACAGTGCTGCAGCACCTCTGGTGATACTTTATAAGGAGCTGTGTGTGCTCGGCTGTCCCTGTGTGCAGCACTCGTTTACTTTACATGCAGGGGCTGAATGGAGCACTTGCTTTTGTTCTCTGGCTCATTCTGCTGTTCCCTCCCCTTAGGCAAGATGCACCCCCAGGTTTCGTGTGGCCACTCTGATCTCCACTGTTGCGTGACACAAATTCCTGCGTGACATGTTCTGTCTCAATCTGAATGGGTTGCAGTTTTGTCATGTGTTGCTTTTAAGTGTGGTGCCTCTGAGTAGGCATCTTTCCTATAAATGTAGTAACTGGGCAAGAAAAGAAAACAGTTGGAAGAAGCCCTGTGCACAGCAGTGTCTGAACAAACCAAGAAAAGGAAAGGGAATTATTCCAATTACTTTGCAATTGGATGGATGGAGAACAGAGAGTTATTTATCTGTGCACCATGAGCAAAGTGAAGAATGGGTGTGGCTTGAGAGATTTGGGCATTTCTGTTTTGTTAGATGTTCAGGAGGGTATTAAGTGGTGGGATGGGGAGATCTGTAAGTGAAGGAAAGGAGATCTGGGACAGGGTTCTGCCAGCATGAGGTAGCTGAATCACTGCCATTGTGGCTCTGCTGTATGTGCTCCGTGTCTCAAACATATGGCTTTTCCTGCTTTGTTTTATAATGTTTCATTAACACTTTAAAATGCACAGTGTTCTCTCAAAAAGATCTACAGGAATGGTGAAAGTGAGTTTAAGAAGTAAGCATGGCTAGGAAAACAGTTCCATGTGATCTATGCTGTTAAATTTGGGAAACAAAAAAAAAAAAGCTCTCAGAAAAGAGAGCACAAAAGAATGTTACAGCAGGTAGGTTCACCTCGTCATTGGCAACACTGACTGGTCTTTTTATATAAAAACAGGAGTCGCTTAAATTGTACTCAATGTCTTCAGCATCCCTGGCTGCAAAAAGACACCAAAACCATGGAAGCCAAAAAGCTTTCCAAAGACAGGATGAAGAAATATATGGCCAGAAGAAAATGGCAGGTAATGAAGAGGACATTGAATTGGGCTGGATATCCTAATAAGTCCCTTTATTTTTAATGTTTATGTCATGCCAGGCGGTTCCTGCTGCTGGTGAAAGCTCTGGTGTGGCCAGAGGCTGAATGCAGGAAAGCAGGTTTGGTTTCTACATTTAAGCAGTAGGAGGGTGCACAGCTGCACATATTATTACACGCAGTGATTCCATTTCAGGCTGCTAAAAGCCATTTGAGTTCAAGTAGAGTTTTTCCTGCTTCTCATGGAGTAAGCCTGTCTCTCTTCCCTGCCTTCTCTGTGCCACTGGGGGCTGGAGGATTATGAAATCCTTAGCAAACCTGAACAGTTCAGGTAAAATTTATTCACCTGGCCTCCCTAAAGGTAACTTATTTTGTGGCAGTTTCATTCTGCTAAGCATGTAGTTCTGTCCTGTTGGAACTCCCAAGCTTCTCATGGATTTGATCAGTTTGGTTTAATAATTTTCTTTGATGTATTTGGTCTTCATATCTTCTTTTTCCTTAAGCTGGAACTGTTGTACCAGGTCCATCTGTGCTATTCTGATAGCTAGAGGAGTTGCTGTGTGAAATCCTGGATCCAGCTTTTTGACTAGCCTATAAAATACTAATTTATGCAAATCTACCTCATATTTCCTCTTATGCTCTGCTGCATGTGTTTCTTGGAGCTCATGCAAGCTGTACAGAAATACAAGTGTCCGTACTAGAGCCAGCATAGTTTGAGCATATTTTAGTGTCCTGGTGGTTGATCCTCGATCCTGTCAGAGGTCTGTTTCCATCATGCAAATTTCTCATTCATTTCATATTAGCTGGTTATTCATCTTTGATGAAACTCAGCCCAGCCCCTATGGCTGTGGAGAGAGCCTCCCCCCACCAGAGTCCAGTTCCAGTTAAACAGGACATAGGTTTTTGCTGGCCCTCCTCTCTCACAGTGCTTTTTATCCGCAGCTAACAGAGACATTCATTTAGGTATGAGTTCATCAGGGGAAGTTTATATCTACAACTAAATTTGGTAATTCAGTCCAGCCTGCTCTGTCTCTCCTAAAACAAGAGAGCTATATATAAGCAGTTTGTCCAACAATTCCAGTGAGGTTTGCAGAGATCCCAGATAATTTGTCTGAAGCACGATTGTTGCAGAAAATCACATGCCTATAGGATTGGATTGATCAGAAGCCTTTTATGTTATGTCTTAGAAAACAGGCAATGCTGTCCGAGCAATAGGAAGGCTGTCGTCCATGGCAATGATTTCTGGTATGAGTGGGAGGAAGGCCTCTGGGAGCTCGCCTACCAGCCCTATAAATGCAGACAAAGCAGAGAACGAAGGTAAGGAATTTTGCTGCACCATATTTTTACCTCTCTCTGAATCAAGTTTGCAAAAACTTTTAGCAAACTGCGAGACACCAATCATCAAGTCGGTTATTTCTGCTCTCTCTCTCTCAACCCCTCTCTGTTTTTATCTTCCTATTTTTTTAAGAAATCTGTCAGAAATTCATTGTTCTCATATTGTTCTGCTACTCAAAATGCCCCAGTATAAGTACAGGCAGTAAACTCTTCTCTTTTTAAAGCCAAAGAATTAAGGCAGATTTGTCAGCTGCACTTTCTATGGGTTTGGGAATGCATGTTTATACAAAGATGACAGTGATGTATTGCCTTCTCATGCAAGCAAGCAAGCAATAAACTATTAACACTTGCTGTAACCAAGACACATCCCCTGCATTAACCATCCTCCTTAGATGGGGCATTTAAGGAAAAAGAGAATGTTTCTGCATTATCCATCTATGTCCCCAGCAGAAATGTGGATCTGTGGTTTGGAACAATCAGAGGGGCAAATGTTTGATACTGCTGAAAATCAAACAAGTCATTTTGACAAATCCACATAGACCATGGGCCTGATACAAGTGGAACTGGCTTACTCCTCTGACTAGCAAAAGTCAAGGTTCAGTTAGAAGCAAATTCGAGGAGAAAATAACGATGATCCACAGTGTGGTGGCCTGCACGTCGCTTTCTTTCTATTTATGGCCTGACCCTTTGTCCAGCTGTGGCAGACTGGCACAAAACTGAGCGGCCAACGTCCTCACTGTCCCATTAGCCATACAGAATTAAGTGAAATAAAAGTAGCTTTCATTACCATCTAGTAATTAAAAATTAAAATGCATCGAGAACATGCCCTGTAAAATAGTTAACTACCTCTTCGCTCTCCTCCAGATGCTTTCCTTGAAGAAGTGGCTGAAGAAAAACCCCATGTAAAGCCATATTTTACTAAAAAAATCCTTGACATGGAGGTTGTGGAAGGAAGTGCTGCTAGATTTGACTGCAAAATTGAAGGTACTTTGAATAAGCATATCTCTTTCTTTATTTATTTCTTCCCTTGCCAGCTTTCTGCATTGTGCAATTGTTTGACTTTTTCAACTAGTTATTTTTAAACCATTGTTGAGTTGGTGCCATTTTGCTTTACCAATATCTGCATGTCACAGCATGAATGTGTTGCAGGAGCAGATATTATTTGGAGCTGCATGGGCTTGTTCTGTGCTTTCCATAGAACAGAAGCCTCCAAGAGTCAACATGTGAATCACTAATTCAGAACAGCAAGTGGGAACTGTCATATGATTTTTGAGGGTAGAAACAGTAAACACAAGATGCAAGGTGGTACCAGAAATTGCAAGAGTATGCTCTTAGAGACTGCTAACCAGAAACCAAGAATTAGTAGGAGGTCACTTGTCTGAAATGACAGACAAATTTCAGGTGTCCTCAAGAAAACTTCAAGCCATACATACACTGTATTAAAGGCAAAGAAGTCCCTAGCAGTGTATATGCATGAGAAGTAATAGTAATATAATTGTGCTGGTTGCATAAGTCACATTTAGAAACTACTGTATTTTTGTTTGGGTGTTTTTAACTTAGGAGTTCAAGAAAGAAAACTCAGAGTGGAATACACAGACAGAAAGCCTAAGTTTATGTAAAGGCACTTAAGGATCATGGGCTCAGTCAGCCCAACAGTCTCAAGGCCAAGACCACTGGCACTTCTGTTGCAATGAAATTGAAACTTCTTTATCACAGCTGTGGTTGAAAACTAGAAATTAGGAGAGAAGAGCTGTGAAAACAAAACGGATAGAGTCAGTACCATACTGCATGTGTTCAAGTTAGACAATTTATTATCTTAAAATGAGGTTCAGAAACTGCCTCGTTGACCTTGTGCTTGTTTGTTTCTGTGCTCCCAATCTCTTTCACTGCCTGTGTTTCCTACCTCACAGCGGAGATGTGAGGATGGATTATTATTGCTGATGGATGCTCAGCGTGAGGGGTATGTGCACAAGTACTGCATGGAATAAAATAGATGGATGTACCACGGCTGATGTTCCAAACTTTCCAGTGCATTGCTGTAATGTTCGTTGGGTATTAGGGATTCCTGCACTTTATTTCTGCTCAGTGGGAAGTTACCCTCTCGTCACAGTCCAGAACTTGGCTGAGACAACAAACCTTCAATTTGTTACAGCAGCCAAGAGCACTGTATAAGGGATTGTTCTCCAGCATGCATTGCACAGCTCTGCTCTGGAGGCTTAGCAGAGCCATTTGCTTCTCAAAAGGCTCCAAAACTCCTGTTGAGATGCATAATCAAAATGCTCTTCTTAGACTCCCTCGCTTATCCTAACAAACACAGGGGGAAAATGGGAGTGCCACAGGACAGGCTGGTTTGTAAGGAGTTTAGGAAGAGGAAGATTCAGAATAGCCACAACAAAGAAACCTGTGAAAGATATTAAATTGTAGCTGTAGCCTAAAACGGCTTACC